TTTGAAGTGCGAGCCTTGATGTCGTATACCAGAATGGAGAGACACCGTGCAGTTCGTCTTCCTCGGTGTACGGATGACCCCCACTTTTGCGGTGAACAAAGGGGAGATTTATTGCAGGACCAGACGGAAACAAATGAAGGTTTATTAATAGTAGTCGAATTGTAACGTCGTTGTTAGGGGTATGCAACAATGGTCGCCGAAGTACGGGGCCCCCTCCCGAGCAGGAGCACGGGAGCAGCTACCACCTGGAACACTCTGTCGAAACTAGGTGTTCACACAAAGACTTCCGAGGACTAGTCTAGAGCGAGCAAAGCAGAGACAAGGAGCGAGGTGGACACGTAGAAGGCTTTGAGTGGTTTGCCAGCTGGAAGGAGCGGCAAATAGGTTTGGTCTTTTCCTGTCCACCCACCCTTTTCCTTTCGAAGGTGGGGGAGAGGACAGGACCGTTGCAATTGCTAGAGAGGCGAAGAAAGTGGTAGGGTAACATTTTGGGGACTTGGTCATTTGAGACTACTGCGTGCAGTAAGATCAGTTCCTGCACCGAGAAAAGGAGACCTAGTGGTTGCCGCTCTGAGGAAATAGAGAGAAGCAGTTGGCATCTCTCTCTTTCCTTCGGCCGTAGAAAATAATGATGAAGTCAATTCGAAAGAAAAACAATGCAGCGTTGATCTTCGATAGTTTCGGGCGCAGGCCATGAGTACGTGCTGTCCGGGCGTCGCCTAGACTCCGCTGACGCAAGGCTTCAGAACGCTATTCAGCCTTGATCAGAGCAACGTCGGATTGGGCCCTTGCCATGTCCGCCGCGTGCGACGCGATGGTAGGGTATACTTCGCCGTTTGAGTCTGGTTACAGCTAAACAGCAGTTTTCACCATACATGCAGGCATACCCAGATGAAAGGAGCAATGGGAAGGGCATTTCAAACCACCATCGGCTCTTCTTCGCGGTTTCGCCAGCAAGAAATGTTCGTAGCATATTGGCGTGCACTTCGATAGTTTGCGGAGCGTAGTTCAGTTAAGAGATGAACCGACAGCGTCACCCCATTCCCCTCCGCCTCTTCCCTCTTGCTCCATCTCAAACAGGATCTATCACCGCCACGTGGCTCATCTGTCCATGGCGGTTTTTCGACTGTACGGACGCAGAGACGCTTACGACGCCCTCAGAGACCTGCTCGCCAAGACGATCCAGCAGGACACGCCGGCGTTCGAGGACATTTCGCCGTCGACCTCGCGATTCTGCAACCTCCCCATGTGCGCGTCGCACCTCCGCAAGCTCCTCAAGATGCGAGCGCCGTGTCCAGCAGACGGCGGCGGCGGCGGCGGCGGCACCGCGACGACCGGCGCCGGGAGCAGCGGTGGTCACAACGGCAGCCGCGGCAGCTACCCCGTTATGAGCGCCGCTCATGGTGGCGTTGGCAGCGGTGCTGGTGCTGGTGCCGCCCCACGCCAACGCAGTGAAGGCGATTTCTTGGTGCCTCCCCCTGCCCCGCCTTTCCGAGATCGAGGCCAACAAGTCGAGCAGCTGACGAGGAGGAGATATTCCCAGGGCGTCGGTACCGCCGTCGCCGACGTCCGGCCCGGCTTGCCCCTGCCCGCGGCTGGTTGGAGCTACCTCGACTACAACACGGGGTCGGTTTCACGGCCGCCATCGGCATCGGCATCGGCGTCGGCGTCGGCGTCGGCGGCCCCGCGAACTGCTTCGCACGGAGCGAGCGGCTCTAGTTTTTATAGACCACCGCCGCCCCCGTTCGGCGCTCTCCCGCTGCTGCCGGCACCGTCGCGGCCGCAACCGCAGCCGGGCGGGGGGGCGGAGGGGCTTGGCGGCGCGCCCGTTCCGGCCCCCGCTGCTAGCTCGTGCGAGCTTGGCGCGTCGACAGCGTACGGGGGGGCGACTGCGGTCGGGTCTGCCGCTGCACCCACAAGCGAGTTGTTCGACACGGTAGGCTTTGAAGAGTTGGCGAGGAGAGACCAGACGGCGGCGGCGGCGCCTTCCTGGGGGACGGTGTCACCGGCATGGCGTGGCGGGAGGTTTCAAAGCCCCGCCGCGGGGGAGCAGCTTCGCAGGGGCGGTGATGGTGGTGGCGGTGGCGGTGGCGGCGGGCCGTGGGGGTTGTCGAGCCATGGAGGGAAAGGGCAGCATGGTCGCAATGGCCGTGGCCTTGCCTCCGGTGCCCCGCCCCCCTCTTCGGCTGCACACGTCACCACCAACGGCGCAGAGCTCTCCGCCGCGCACGGCCAGAAAATTGTTGACCATCAATCCGCCATCACGGCTGCTGATCTGCAGAGCGTGAGTCACGCCATGGCCGGCGCGGATGGGGACACCAGTAGTAGTGCCAACGCCGGTAGACCACAACTTCCCGATCTGTAGCGAGCGCGGTTGGGGGCCCGCACTAAAAGAAGGTGCGGGTCGGGGTTCAGTTTGTCCCGTCGCTGCCATCGAGCGTGGGGCCTACTTGTACTGTATAGAGGATATTCATTTTTTTACGGATGTTTTTCGTTTCGTGACTGTTTTGAGTCGGCCTCTCTTGACAGACAAGACTTTTTTCTTTGTCCCGGGCCCAAACGGCTCTTGGCAATGGAATGTTGATGTTCGGATTGGTCCGGGGCGGAACGACGGGTCGCGTTATCGTGCAAAATGCTTGCTGCTGCTCTGTTTTTGACATTGATCACTTGTAAAGAGGCAACCAGTGGAACTATTCGTGATGTCGTTTGTGTTTTTATCTTGTTTCGGGGCGTGCTTTCTATCGTATTTTGCCACGCGCCTTCCCATTTGTTTGCAGAAAGCCAACCCCAACACAAGTGTAGGATAGTTTGTTTCTTGTTTCCTCTGCGGGGTTACCCAACATGGACAAGGAGCACACAGGCTTTTGATATGGGATTCATGCTTGCCTGAGGGCATGTTCTTTCGGTCGCGTTCCTGAGGTGTGCGCTGGATTTTGGGCTCAATTTTTTTACTCCCTCACTCTCAGGTTCACCAGCGGTGATGGTGGCGCTTTCTGTACGAACATTTGAGAGGAAGCAATTTGCGACGACGGTGGTGGTGGTCGAGAAAGACTCCTGACTGACTACTGTTGTGCTACGTTGTTTTCAGAGAGAGAGGGCTGAAAATCGAACAACCACAAGCTGATACATACGGCAGGCAGCAGCTGCTAGTGCGGGCGGGACGTTATACCCCTCATCATGCCCCCGCCCATCTATCCTACCCTGTTATTAGTCTTTGCCGTCTTCCACCTTCGTTCGGGAAAAAATGTTTTTTTTGTATCGTCGTCCCCTTTTCTCCTTATTGTCGCGGGGGTGAGAATCCACCGATTCGGAGCCGCTGGTAGGTAGGGCGGCCGTCCGCGTGAGGTGCTACTTTTATTACTTACCAGACGTAGTTTAGTCTAGATGATGAACCGCCGCACGTGCGGACTCCGATCGTTGCGGCGTAATAAATGTGTCTTGTGAGTCTTATACCTACTGCGGTTGCATATCTCTTATGAACGAACAGGTTTTTTTATACTCAGTATGTTGTAGTCGTATAACCGCGGTAGGCAGATAGCCGTACGCGGTAAAAAATGTATGTCGAACTCTGGAAAGAGGTATGGGAAGTTTTTTTGCGGTCTTCTTGCTCGGTTCGTGGTTCTAGTATAAATAGTAATCATCGGTGGTTTTAGAATGCTTCTTCTACATATCTTACTACGTACGTGTAGTTGTCTACCGCGCCCCAGCCCCGTGTAATGTAAGACTTAAGAGTAAATGTCTTTATGGCGCATAAAGTCTCTATTTAAACACAAACAAGTGATGGGTCGCATGTATGTATAAAGCAATAGGTCAAGGCTGACTGGGCAGTCCTGCTCTCTGTATGATCGCAAGCAAGCCCGTTCAGAGTTGGGCCTGCTCCGTCGTACACAGACAATATGTAACGTGATGTACGTACTTTCGATGACAATATGTCGCGTGATGTACGTACTTTCGATGACAGCGGTGTTGCATAATATGCATAGTCTACTATACTTACTCCAGCCTGGTTTTTTGTTGGGGGTCATTCCATCCGTTTTTCTGGGCGCCAGCCTCTATAATACACCTACTATACCTAGTCTAAATATTATAGGTATGCATTTTCCGAGATGGATGTGCGCAGAGTCTACGGCAGGCGGTCAGTGTACTATTTTTCCTTTTTTTCTCCCCCGCCCCCCGGTGTTTGCCATCGGGGTTGGGTTTTCGTCGCTTGGCAACGACGTTGTAAAACAAGCCGCCCCCCCCGGTGTCCGCCCCCGCCGGTGTTTGCCATCGGGGTTGGGTTTTCGTCGCTTGGCAACGACGTTGTAAAACAAGC